GCCTGTGGATAAATGCTTTCATTGTTTCTGTGATTTGCATGGCCTGGATCAAAAAGAACACCTTGAACTCTAATGAGAAGATCTTGCTGTTACTGGGATCCTCCAGGTTTTGTTTTTTGTGCATCTCATGGGTATATTCCTTTCTTTCAATAATTTATCCCCATTTCCTTTATGTTCACCCCACACTTCAACTAGTTGTATCTATTCAAAGCTTGTTAAATTATTCCAGCTTGTGGGTTTCAGCCTGTCTTTGTGCTTTTTATTGTATAAAAATTGCCAATTTCGGGAACAGCTTCTTCATCTACCTGAAAGTAAAAATTGACAGGATGGTGCCCTGGCTCTTGTTGGGGTCAGTGCTTTTCTCCCTGGTTATCGGAATCATTGTTTACTATGTCATTGATAAAGCTTTCTGTAAAAACCTCAATTTCAATTGCCAAGGATGTATTTGGAAAGCAAGTATCAGAATAGAAGAACATTTTTTCCCCATTTATTTTATCATTGGTTTTGGATATGCCATTTCATTCACAGCAGTCATCTTTTCTGCCCTTCTCCTTCTCTTTTCTCTCTGGAGACACAAACGCAACATGCAGACAAACTCCATGAAGGACCTCAGCATGGATGCCCACATCAAAGCCATGAAATCCATTCTCTCCTTTTTAGTAATGTACAGCATCAACTTCGTGTTTTTGATCTTGTCACTGATTTATTCAATTAGAGGCAAAAATCACACATATTTCTTTATTTCTGTATTTCTGTATGCTTTTCCAGGTTTTCATTCCATTATTTTGATTTTCAGCAATCCCAAATTAGAAAAGACATTGCTAAGGATTGTGCCCTGTGTGAATGCAAGGTTTGCATGAAGCAGGAACTGTTGGAAGAGTCATTAAATCTCTTATGCAAACACTCCATGTTGTGTGGAAGGGAAAGATAGTCTCTCTTTATCACTGAAGTTAAGAGTATAACATTCAAATACCTTGACTGAAATTAGAATGAGCAAAAGAAATTTTTATTATCCTTACATTTAGGTATTTTTTTGAGTAAAACTCTGGTCAATAATAGTCTTTTAGACCTTATACACATGATTTGGTTGCAAAAGGGCAATAACAATATGCAAATGGTGAGGCACTCGCTGATTGAAACAACTGAACTAAACCACAGGTTTATCTCTATTTTGGTTAACAGTTCTTTCCTCTCTGGCTCCCTTCTTTGTAACGTTATCAGTGGTATCACTGTCTGTCCAACAGTGCAGGATGGGTGGGTGCACCTTGAAGGACTGCAGCCTAAGGAGACCCCACACTGGAGCCAGCTTATCCTGAAGGACTGCAGCCCAGGAGTGGCATCCACCCTTGAGCAGGGGAAGAGCGTGAGGAGGAAGGAGTGGAGGAGACAACTTGTTATGAACTGATTACAATCCTCATTCCCTGTCCCCTTGTGCTGCTGAAGAAATGGAGGTGGAGAAGCCAGGAATGCAGGAGTGAATTTTGGATGTGAAGAATAAGAAGAATGGGGGAAGGGCAGGGGTTCTAGATTTGTGCTTCTTCCTCCTCACCCAACTCTGTCTTCTGTAGGCAATAAAGTCAATTAATTTTCCCCAATTCAAGTCTGTTTTCTCCATGACAGTAACTGGTGAGTGATCTCCCTGTCCTTATCTTGACCCATGAGGTTTTCCATCTTCTTTTCCACCCCTGCCCTGTTGTGGAAAAAGAGAGAAGGAGCAGCTGGCTGGGGGCCTGGCAGGTGCCCAACCACTGGTGTCAGCCAACCACTGCTGTCCTCTAAATGTGACACAATTCCAACACAAAAAGAGCAGAACATGATTTGTTAATTTCTGTCATCATCTCGGGCACAGAGTGACATCTTAGCTCACAGCAGCCACCAAAGGTGTGTTTTTCATGCTTTTTGGCAGGTTTTGCTTTGGCTCTTGTTCTCCCAGAAGGAGAACATGTGCCAGGTGTGCAGCCCAATCATCAGAGGTCTCCTGAAGCTTCTCAGATTTTCTTTTCCCCCAGTAAAGCAAATACATCCTTCTTGTAGGACAACACTGCAAAGGACTCTGTAGACTCACTGCACTCTCTTTTAGAAAATGACCCAGAGGAAGAGTTTCTGCTCAGGGAACATGAGTGCCCCTGGGATGCTAATTTGAGAAGTTGAAGTGAAGGTGAAAAACCTTGTCTTGTGAGCTTTTTCTTCAAAGAGTTTTTTTGCCATGGGCATTCCCTTCCCTCTGTCTCTCCATCCCCACAACAATGAAAGGGGAAGAATTTAATATTGAAGTGTGAGTGGTTTTTAATTGGATGGGGCTCTGAACAACCTGGGCTAGTGGGAGGTGCCCCTGTCCACAGTAGGGGTGTTGGAATTAGATGATCTTTAAGGTTTCATCCAGCTCAAAGCACTTAGCAGAAATTCAGTCGCAACCAAGGCTGATCATCTGGGATTCCACATGTCATAAAAGGAGAAAGAAAGGGCTGCTAGGGAGGGAAGAGGTTCAGCCTGAACTAAGCTCCAATGGAAGCAATTCAATCTGTGTGTGATGTGACTCAGATCACAACAAAACCTGTGTCCATCCAGATGCATAAATGTGGGGGTGAGGTGCCATTTGAAATGCACAAAGGCATCCAAAAAATGCACATGGACTTGTAGATGCAAAGTCTCGGAGACTCCTTCCCCTTCTCAAGTGGTGCAGGAGGGGATGGATATGAATCAGCAGCAGATACCTGTGCTTCAAGCACCTGACCCACATCTTCCTGCTCTGAAACCCCAGCATGCGAGACTCTGATGTTATAACCTTATTTTAATAAGGAACCAAATGGCCCACACAGAGCTGAGCCCAAACTCCAGCCACAGTATGGTCCTTCTGGTGTAATATTTTCATATAAATGGCCCTTGCACAAGCACAGTCCCAGCACAGGCAGTTCATCTTCAGACAGGTTGTTATAGAAATAACTTCTGTTCTCTTCACATACATATGGACAGAAGAAGAAATAAAGAAGCAAACAAACCTACCCAACCCTGTACCGTGTTTCCTGTTCTATCAGCAAAAACAGAAGAAACTCACACCAAAGCATAAAGAAGAGAACAGGCAGTATCAGAAAATGAAAATTCTGTCAAGGCAATGCTCTGCCTTCCATCAACATCAACAATTATCAAAAGAAATAATATTTTTGAATGGCTGCAGCCAAAACTAACTTGCTCATTGTAGGTGGCCAAGGGACAAAAGAACACAGATCCTGAAGCCTGACAAGGATCAAACAAGGGAGAGTCACAGAATCACAACCCTGTTCTCTGCACAAAAACACCTCCAATCTTTGTGCCACCCAACACAGCCCTCCTGAACCAACATGCAAATCCTGCACAGTGACATTTACATCCCTGCACCTGCCCTGCTCTCAAGATGAGCAGCATCAAAATCCCCCCCCCAGCAGCTCTATAAAGCTCCTCTTTCCACACCTGACACTCAGGCAACAGCAGCCGCTGACCTGCGTTTGGCATTGGTGCACCAGCCCCTTGTCCAGCACAGCACTGCTCCCAGCTCCCAGGATGGAAGTGTGTCGCTCTCCGGAGCAATTCAATGTCACTGCATACGGTGCCACGGCTGTGGCCATCATCACCCTTGAGACGTTTGCTGGCCTGTGGATAAATGCTTTCATGTTTTCTGTGATTTGCATGTCCTGGATCAAAAGGAAAACTTTGAACTCTAATGAGAAGATCTTGCTGGTTTTGGGATGCTCCAGGTTTTGGGTTTTGTGCTTCTCATGGGTATATTCCTTTCTTTCAATAATTTATCCCGATTACTTTTTTGTTCCGCCCACATATACTCTAACTGTATCTATTCAGAACTTTTTTGAGTGTTCCAATTTGTGGGTTTCAGCCTGTCTTTGTGTTTTTTATTGCATAAAAATTGCCAATTTCAGGAACAGCTTCTTCATCTACCTGAAAGTAAAAATTGACAGGATGGTGCCCTGGCTCTTGTTGGGGTCAGTGCTTTTCTCCCTGGTTATTGGAATCCTTGTCTATGATTTCACTCATAAACCACACTGTAACAATTCCACCAGTGAAGGAAATTTTTCAAAAGTGAGTATCAGAATGGAGGAACATTTTTTGTCTATTTTTTTAATCTATGGCTTTGAGTTTGTCACTTCATTCACAGCAGTCATCTTTTCCGCCCTTCTCCTTCTCTTTTCCCTCTGGAGACACAAACGCAACATGCAGACAAACTCCATGATGAACCTCAGCATGGATGCCCACATCAAAGCCATGAAATCCATTCTCTCCTTCTTCATAATGTACAGCATCAACTTTATATCTTTGATCTTGAATATGGTTTATACCACAGAGGATGGAAGTCCTGTGATATTTCTTATTTATGTACTTCTCTACACCTTTACTGTTGTTCATTCCCTTATTCTGATTTTCAGCAATTCCAAATTGGAAAAGTCAATGCTAAGGATTCTGGGCTGTGTGAAGTGCAAGTTTTGCATGAGGTAGGAACTGTAGTAAAAACTGGAGCCCTTGAAAAATGCTGATATTTCATCATAGAAAACAAATTGTTTAATCTCTAATGCAATTTTCCAGGTAGTGTGGATGAAACAGATGTTCTAGAAAACTTCATGAAAATTCTTTAAACCACATGAATATGAGTTAAATCATTATCACTTCATTTAGATAAACCTTTGAGCTAAATTATTGTCAATAATAAATACATATAGCTCTGGTCACATGGGCTGAATGTATGTAAAAAGGCAATGACAATACTGCAAACCTTCCTGAAACACTTTGGCATTTGCTGATTGAAATGACTGAACTAAACAAAAGGTTTATCTCTATTTTGGTTTACATTTCTTTCTGTTGTGACTCTGTTCCTTGTAATATTTCCAGTTGTATCAGTGCCTGTCAGTGTAGGTGGGTTAGGTGTTCCCTGAAGGACTGCATCCTATGGAGACCCCATGCTGGAAATGGCTTATGCTGAAGGACTGCAGCCCACGGGTGGGACCCACACTTGAGCTGAGGAAGAGCGGGAAGAAAAAGAAGTGGAAGAGACAACACGTTATGAACTGACCACAACCCCCCTTCCCTGTCACACTCTGCCGCTGAGGGGGAGGAGGTGGAGAAGGTGGGAATGTGAGAGTGAATTTTGGCCTGTGATGAAGGAGGGGGGAAGGCGAGGGGTTTTAGTTTTTTAGCTTTTTCTTATTATCCTACTCTATATTCAATTGGCAATAAATTTAATTTTCCCCAAGTCAAGTCTATTTTGCTTGTGACAGCAACTGGCGAGTGACCTCTCTGTCTTTATCTTGACCCATGAGTGTTTCTATCCTATCTTCCCTCCCTGCCCTGTTGTAGAGTGGGAGTGAAGGAGAGGCTGCGTGAGGGTCTGGCAGGTGCCCAAGTTTAACCATACACAGCAGGCCATGTAAATTTAAAATAGTTCCAGCATCCACAGAACAGAATCTGATTTGTTCATCTCTGTCACCAGCTCAGGCTCAGGGGGACATTTTACCTCATGCCAAGTGTCAGTTTTGCATTTCTCCTAATAACACCTTCAAACACACTTCCTTCCTCTTCATGAAATGTGAGAAACAACCATTTAGGCCAGAGCAACCTCTCAACCACTGTAATATCTCCTTTCCCAAACACCACACAATGTCTCAGGCTGCCTCACCAACCAACCCATCTCTCTTTAAACAGCAACTGCCCAGAAACAAGCAAGCAAATAACTAATGCCACTTTATAAAATGCTAGTCCTCCTTCTCTGTCTAAGGAAGATTTGGGGTTGAATTAAGATTTCCATATCAAGTTCATAATACCTGCCCAGAGGAGATTTTTATTCTTTTTCTCAGGATTGCATCCTGAAACAATTGTGGCCTTCTGAGCATTAAAGTTTAGTTATGGATGCAATGGATTTCCCCAGTAGAAATTGTGGAACTGAGAGCCTAAGTAGTTCGTGAACTAACTAGTTAGGCTACTCATCTGGGATTTCCCATATAAAGGAGAAAGACAAGGATCGTGGAGAGGGAAGAGGTTCAGGCTGAACCAAGCTCAGATGGAAGCAATTCAGTCTGATGCAATTCTTCTGATGCAGAAACACACAGGTCTGGTGCTACGTGAGATGCAAAAACGGCATCCAAAATGGGCTGGTAGATGAAAAACCGAGAGATTCTTTCCCCTTCTCCAGTGGTGCTGGAGAGCATGGATTTGAATTAAAAGCAGCCATCTGTGTTTCAAGCGCCGGACCCACATCTTCCTGCTTTGAAAACCCAGCATTTGAGACTGTGATTTACAGCCTTATTTTTTTTAAAGGTGTGAGATTCTCCAGAAAGAACTGAGCACAAACTCCAGTCCCGGTATGGTCCTTTTGGTGTAATATCTTCATTTAATTTCCCTGTACAAGCACAATCCCATCAGAGACACTTGGTCTTCAGAGCTGTTGTAATAGAAATAACGTCCATTCTCCTCATATCCACCTAGAGAGAAGAAGAAAGAAAGAAGGAAAACAAACAAACAAGCAAAAAAAGCCACCTACACCATTTATTGTGGTTTTTTTCAGCAAAACAAGAGGAAATTCAGAGCGAAGGGTAAAGAAGAGAACAGGCAATATCAGAAAATGAAAATTCTCTCCAGGCAATACGCTGACGTCCACCAATATAAAAAACTATGAAAAGAAATAATATTTTTGACTGACTGCAGCCAAAACTAATTTGTTCATTGTAGTTGACCAAAGCACAGAAAAGCCCAGATCCCAAAGCCTCACAGGGATCAAAATGGGTCAGTCACAAAATCACCACACTATCATCTGCACAAAAACATCTCCACTCTTTATGCCACCCAACACAGTCCTCCTGAACCAACATGCAAATCCTGCACACCAGGTAAGGGGATACCCAGCACATTTACATCCCTGCACCTGCCCTGCTCTCAAGACCAGCAACCACCAAAATCCCCCCCACCAGCAGCTCTATAAAGCTCCTCTTTCCACACCTGACACTCAGGCAACAGCAGCCACTGACCTGCATTTGGCATTGGTGCAACAGCCCCTTGTCCAGCACAGCACTGCTCCCAGCTCCCAGGATGGAAGCTTGTCACTCTCAAGAACAGTTCAATATCACTTTATATGATTCCACAGCTGTGGCTATCATGACCCTCGAGGTGTTTGCTGGCCTGTGGATAAATGCTTTCATTGTTTCTGTGATTTGCATGGCTTGGGTCAAGAAGAAAACTTTGAACTCTAATGAGAAGATCTTGCTGGTTTTGGGATGCTCCAGGTTTTGGTATTTGTGCATCACATGGGTATATTTCTTTCTTTCAATAATTTATCCCCATTTCCTTTATGTTCAACCCAGACTTCAACTAGTTGTATTTATTCAGAGCTCTTTAAGTTATTCCAGTCTGTGGTTTTCAGCATGTCTTTGTGTCTTTTATTGCATAAAAATTGCCAATTTCGGGAACAGCTTCTTCATCTACCTGAAAGTAAAAATTGACAGGATGGTGCCCTGGCTCTTGTTGGGGTCAGTGCTTTTCTCCCTGGTTATTGGCATCATTGCCTATGATATCGCTAATAAACCGCACTGTAACAACCGCAATTCCACTGGACGAAGTAATTTTTGGAAAGCAAGTATCAAAATGGATAAACATTTTTTCCCTTCTTTCTTTATTGCTGGCTTTGGATATGCTGTTTCATTCATGGCAGTCACCTCTTCTGCTCTCCTCCTTCTCTTTTCCCTCTGGAGACACAAACGCAACATGCAGACAAACTCCATGAAGGACCTCAGCATGGATACCCACATCAAAGCCATGAAATCCATTCTCTCCTTCTTCGTAATGTACGGCATCAACTTTGCATGTTTGATCTTGAATATGGTTTATGCCACGAGGAAGGGAAGTCCTTTGACGTTTCTCATTTTAGTATTTCAATACGCTTTTCCGGGTGCTCATTCACTTATTCTGATTTTTGGCAATCCCAAACTGGAAAAGACATTGCCAAGGATTCTGCTCTGTGTGAAGTTCAAGGCTTGCATGAGGTAGGAACTGTAAAAAACTGCCGTAGCACTTGCAAAATGTTGATATTTCATTCTAGAAAGGGAATCATTTAATCTCTAATGCAACTCTCCAGGCAATGTAGATGATACAGATGTTCAGTCTTCATCACTGAGATTAAGAAGATATCATTCAAATACTTTGAATTAAAATAGTGTGGCTTAAATAAAATACTTTCAATTATAATTTCATCTAGGTAATTCTTTGAGTTAAATTATTGCCAATAAAAAATTCATTTAGACCTGGCACATGGGCTGGTTACAGAAGGGCAATAACAATACTGCAAACTTTCCTCAAACACTTTGGTATTTGCTGATTGAAACAACCAAAATAACAACAGGTTTATCTCTGTTTTAGTTTATGTAACTTTCTGCTTGTCCCTGTTCTAGTGTAATTTGATGAGCTGTATCACTGTCTGGCAGCGGTTGATAACTGATGTGTGAACACGTTGGTCCCTGTCACTCTCCACAGGTGGTCACTGACACACAAACAGCGATGCAGGAATGGCCGTGGGAGGCACAGGTGGATGCAGAGCCCACTGCCCACACCAGCCCTGAGGGTCCTCTCTGCCCCACTTCCTGCCATAACAGGATTGCCCTGCTCTGTGTGACTGCTCTCCTGCTCTGCTTTTACTTGTAGATGCGATTGACTTTTCCAAATGGACACCGGCCCAGTAAAATACCCAGGAAATAGGATTTGTGCTGGATCAGGGGAAGAGCACGAGAAGGAAGGAGTGGAGAAGACAACATTATGAACTGACTGCAACCCCCATTCTCCTTCCCCCTGTGCTGCCAATGGAGAGGAGGTGGAAAAGCTGGAAATGACACAGTGAAGTTGAGTTGAGTCTGGGATGAATTGGGGGATTGGAGACATCGGTTTCTTGTTTTGTGTTTGTTCCTCATCATCCTACTTTGTTTTCAATAGGAAATAAATTCAGTTCATTTTCCCCAATTCAAGTCTGTTTTGTCATGACAAATAACAAATGAGTGAGTGTTCCCCCTGCCTTTATCTTGACCCATGAGCTCCTCCATGCCTGCCCTGTGTATGGGCGAGAGTGAAGGAGCAGCTGGGGGGGGTGGCTGGCAGCTGCCCAAGGTCAACCATCCACAGTAGATCCTCTAAACATGAAATAGTTCCACCATGAACTGAGCAGAACCTGAATTGGTCATTCCTCTCACCAGCTCAGGTCCTGAGGTAGATCTTAAAAATCTCCTCTGGATACATCTCCCCACTGAAAGGCCTTGAAAGGACAGGCATCAACACACCTCCCTTCTCTCCCTCATGTTGCTTGTGCACTTCATCCCATAACAGGACAGTCCCAACTGATTTCACAACAAGACCCTGGAAGACCCATCTGATTCCCTACATCCCATGCAACATCATCCCTCACAACCTCCCATACCACAACACGCAGCAGGCAACACCAGCATCTTGCCAATGTCAACACCACACAAAACAAGGCAGCCCCAGCAAACCACACTGCACATCCCTTCTGCCATCTCCATGAAAGCCCTGAGAACATGACAGCCAGCACAGCATCACTGCCCTGTGCACCAGCCCCACTCAGCTGCACCTGCAGGGGACACGTTATCCACCAGCACAGCCACAGTGCACAGCCCACATGGAGAGATGCACTGATGTGCCCAGCCCGGGGAAGCTGACCCAGAAGAGATGTCACAGGTCAATGGGAGGGGCTGCCCAGTGCTGGCAGGGTATGGAAAACTGCTTTGGGTCACATTCCAAGTTTCTGTTAAACAGTTAAAAATGCTTTTGCCATGGGAAGTGTTGATGATCAAAGGCACAGCTCAGGACCAGTTTCATGGCATTCCGAAAGGCAGAGATATAAAAATAGTTGGGAGTACTGCTGAAAATAAGGCAGTGTTCCAACACTCTTGGAAGTCACATCTCTGAAAGCAGTAAGGAGGAGCACATTTTCCCTTTTGCTGGGATAGGAATGGGAAATTCAGGCTGTTGGACCCATGTGTCCAGTGAAAGCTCAAAATCAACATCTCAACTTCAGCCAGAAGAAGCAACTACACCCCACGACTGAGAAAAGAGAGAGGCAACACCAGAGGTCACAAGCACCTGTAGTGCCTCCTGGTTGATGCAGGACTGGAAGCAAACAATAAAAGGCCATGGATATCAGCAGAGCAAGCAGAACCACAATCCCAGATGCTTTTGTGATTCAGGTAGGATCAAAACCATTTCCCTCCCTCACAATATGGGTAACTGCTGGTCATCTCAATAACTTTAAACATTCCAGTGATTTAGAGTATTGGTATATTTAAACATATTCTGCAGTTTTTTGATATTTGAAATCTGATACATAGAGACACACAGAAAGACAGAAGCACTTCTACCTCTTCCCTTTTAAGGACGTTGTTTGCAGTATATCTCAAGGACACATCCTTGTGGGCATTTGCTTCCCCCATTCACGTGTATATCACCCTGCAGATTCACCTGAGATCTGCCAGTGCCTTTGCTCTGCATTTCACATGCTCAGAGGCACCAAACACACAGGACAAACTACTTCTTCCCCTTTTTTTTCCCACTTTTCTTTGGAGCAGAGGTTGTGCAGTTCTCCCAAAAACATGGTGGGTTTCTCCCAAGCTCCTCTTTCTTGTGTTCCCAGTCTTCATCTCTCTGGTCTAGGGGGATTCCTTTCATTGCAGCTGTCCTGCGGTAGTTTCTGCTCTCCACCTCTGCTCTGGGAGAGAAAACAAGAGTGAGCACAGCACAGTCACATCTCCAGGTTGTTCACGAGGCACCATCTCCAGGGTCCATCTCCAGGATTGTGCCTCAGTCTGGTTAAACACCTGCTGCCAGTAACACTTGAGAAAACCCTGCATTGTGCCCAGCATGCTGCAGCCCCAACCTCTCCTCACAGAGACCCCCCTGGGCCCCATCACTGTCAGGATCTGGACATGGAAACTCCAAGTGTAAGTCTTGTCCAAGAGAAGGCAAACCCTTTCCTCCTACTCCAGAGCTCTGATTTTGTAGGCACTCAGGATTTATGCAGCTCTATCAGAAAGACATCATCAAGTATCAGGAAAAAAAATACTTTTTTCTGTGAAAGAACAGCTCTGTCACATCAGTGCAATGCTGTCCCAACTGAGAGCAGGAAGCAAAGCCAGTGCCTTCACACTGATGAGCTTCATCACATAAGCTTACTACATCAGAGAATGATAGAATGGTTTGGGTTGGAAGGGACCTTAAAGCTCATCTCGTTCCAACCCCCTGCCATGGGCAGGGACACCTTCCACTAGATCAGGTTGCTCCAAGCCCCATCCAACCTGGCCTTGAACACTTTCAGAGAACAGCTTCTCTGGGCAACCTGTGCCAGGGCCTTTACCACCCTCACAGTGAAGAATCTCTTCCGAGTATCTAATCCAACCCTACTTACCTAGGCCATTCCCCCTTGTCCTCTCACTCCATGCCCTTGTCAAAAGTCCCTCTCCAGCTCTCTTGTAGGCTCTCTTCAGGTACTGAAAGGTGATCTAAGGTCTCCACAGAGTCTGTGTTTGAGAGAGATGGTTGAGGCCCCAAGCCTGCTGGTGTTTAAGAGGCATTTGAAAAATGCCCCTAATAACATGCTTTAACTTTTGGTGAGCACTGAAGTGGTCAGGCCACAGGACCAAATGACCGTGGCAGGCCCCTATGAACTGAACTATCCTATTTTCTCCCATTAACTATCTGCTACCAAGGGCAAGAAACATCTTTCTGTAGACTTCTAAATGTAGGTACCTATACACACGTGAGTATAAACACATGCTTTGGGCTCAGATAGAAGGAGCCTTTGGTGCAGGTTCAACACTTGGCACTTTGCAGAGCGGCTGGCGGCAGGCACAGGCTGTGGTGCCAGCTCAGCACCATCCCTGGCAGCTCTCACAGCAACCAGGGTAAAGCCCTTCTCATGCAAAACAAATCTGATGCAAAATATGTGTTTGTTATTCAGAAGTAGCTGTTTCGAAGGCTGTTTCCTAACCTTTGCATGTCCATGCAAACCTCAGTGAGTCGTACGGATACTTGGTAGCAAAATATTCCCAATATTTGCATGTTAATAATATTTCCATGTTGATACATGTAATATTTCCATGTGGATGCAAAGAGTCCTCAGCATAGAGCAGTGGCCCAGCCCGGGCAGGCAGACAGTTCATGCAGCTGGCAACACCTGGGAACAGACACACAGCATTCAAGGGTCATGGTAGTGCTAGATGGGGCTGAACTAGGATTTAGGAAGGATTTGGATATTCATAGCCCTGTTTAGATATGCTCATCAGCCCTGCATTTGGCACAGACCCTCAGATTTAAAAATGGAAAACCTGTCTTTTCTCTCTTTTTGCATGACAAGCAAATACCCAAAACTGACAAAATATTCCTCATATTTATATACCACAGACACCATGACCTGCTCTGTGCTGTGCAGCATTATGTGCAGGCACACACTTAATTCTGTGTCTGCAGCACACATTGGTACTTCCCAGCTGCTGACACTGCCTGACCACCTCTGGGACCTTCTGCACATCTAAAGGAGCAGAAGGTAATCAAAATTATACTATAAATGCCAGCCATTCCAGCTCCAAGGTTGCTGGTATGAGGAGGTGAAGCCATTGCAGTTGTAAGTTACAGTGGTTGGGCTTAAAAAATGTGTTCCCGAGTAACAGTGATAAACTCTTGGCTGCCCATAGGCTGTGTTATGGCTGTGAGGTGATTGCACAGGCTTTGTGTGCCTTATAAAATGTCCTAGGCATAGGCATTCAAAGCATCTTCCCAGTTAAGTTCCCCCAGCCATGCTCCTAGATGAGCCATGCGGCTGTGGGGTGAGTCAGGCCAGCATACGGCTCTGAAAGGCACGTTTTCCAGCTTAAATCAGTCATTCACCTCAGAAAACCCTTCATCAGCTACCTGAGTCGCCCTAGGCTGTTGCTAAGGTGTCTCAGACCAGGATGTCAATCATCCTGTCAATCAACTTGTCAGTCATTCTCCCAGGAGCCTCTGCCTGCCGCGGGCATCGCCCGTCGGCATCATCCAGCCAATTCCCCTACCCTTGCTGTCACCTCACTGCCATGGCCCTCGTGCACAGCCAAGTGCACAGCAAATGCTACAGATTGGACAGGAATTACTGGTGAGGTTAATGCAAAAAGGACAGCATTGAATAGGTAAGTAATTGCTATAAATGATTCATCAAGGGAGAGAAGCCTGCAGACTTTCACTCTCTAGGTTAGACAACATTTAACTGTGCTGATATAGAAACTAAGCATACCAAGAGCTGAGAACAGTATAAAGA